TGCCCTCTGTTACCGATATTTTCATTTTTTTGATAAATTTATCAGATTACTGTTTTTATATGGTTATAAGTCTATCACTAACAAAAGAATTCAAAAACTCATAGCATCCTTGTGTGAGCAATACATGAGCCGAACGGAGTACTTATTACCATGTTTTGTGATCCGTGTTTGAATGTGTTGTATTGTAAATGGCCACATTTCATTAGATACGAAAACAAGGAACTGTGCTGCGTCGGAAATAAAGTGAGATGTGCGAGTATGTAAAAGTGTACAGATACGCTATTTGCGAGGAAGTAAGTGTTCATATGGACAGAACCTTTTAATTCTTCACTTTTGAGTATCCTTTAATTTAGAATTCTTTACTTTAATTCCTTACTGAAGTACTTCATTGCCAGAAGAAATTAATTTTCACTTCACAAATTCAAAGCAATCGTTCGCTAATGCAATATTTGGGACTTGGTAAAGGCTAATTTTAAATATACATTTGTTCTATGTTTCTTGAGTTCTCATTAGAAGTAAATCTGTTTTGACAAGTATGAATGAATACCGAGTAAGTCTGGTATTAACTTCCAACCAGTATCTGGAGGTAGTAATTGGATTTGTAGTCACAAAAACAGCTCTACAATCGATTAATTGCTACAGATGCACAAAGGCAATAGCTGCAGAAACTTTTAATAACACTATGCAACAATTTTTGAGGTCAAGATTGTATATTTTACGCAAATGTCGCTCGTTCATTTCTTAAATAAAATACATGCATAATGTGAATTGCCTTTCTGACTATGAATAATATTTTATTCATTATTCAAGTTTTTACAAGAACGAAAATTAACAAGAGAATAATAATACAAATTAAATTTCTGAAAGAAATCACTAACAATAAAAGTTAAGATTACAATTTACATTCTACGTCAAAGTTAAAAAGCAATAATTAATGATTAAAAATAATCTTCATAAAAGTACATATAAAGAAAAAATATATACAGACAGAAAGACATGCAACAAAATATACATTTTTATTCACCACTTTATCAAAGTGGTGAATATTTATAACATTAAAAGGATTGCAAAAATAAAATTAATATCACTAACCAATGACCATTTATTTCGCCTACTCCAACAACCATCGGGCCGAGAACCTTATTGGCTTGATCAAATCATGTTTTTCAGCCTCCGCAATAAAACTTCACTCGTAATTGAGAAACCTGTAGAGACTAAAATCAGAGTACATGAGCAGAAATCAGAAAATAGTTACGGATAACTATTAATTTTCATGAATATGACAACGAAAATTCTAAGCACAGTTAAACAAAAAATCAAACGAGAAAGATCAAAAAATCTTACCTCATGTTCGATGAAACTAGTTGCTAAGTTGAGTTGTAAATCGCTAAAGGCGTAACTCTTCACTCCAGCTTCCAAATATTGAAATCGTTGATTCCGTTGCTGCTTTCTTTCGTGTAACTAATGCCTCTTCCAAACTTGCGAGCATTCTTCACTACAATAAATCCTTTTTTGGATCGATTTATTTTTAAGTCTTCGGAGTGCTCCTTTCATAATTCTTCGTCCAAAGACTTTTTTTAAAATAAGGCCACGTACATTCTACAATGCAAAATCGTGACAGTGAAAAAATCCTCCGCAGCAAGAAACTAATCCATGTTTTCTCAGATTTCCAGGCTTTAAGCGTCGTTAATAAAGGACACTAAAATAAATAAAACCATCGAAATCCTTCATCGACTGCTGAATGATACCATGTCCTCCACCCCACGCTTTCTTCAATTTTTGAGTCTTCGGTATCCCCTTACCCATATGTTTTATTCCGAAGACTTTTTCTGCCTTTTTTAAAAATGCTGCGGATTTTTTCGATAAATCATAATCACCGCAACATACAACAAGTTTCAGTTCTTCCATCTCCGAGCTTTGCGTCCTTCGTGCAATTGAAGGACACAACGTGCCCCACTCCACATTTCATTCAATTTCCGATACCTCTGGATGCTTCCTCTTTCCCCTTTTTTTATTTCGAAAATTTTTTTCATTTTAAAAAAAGTGCTGCGGACCTCCTCCACATCACTCATAAAAATGGAGGTACTGACGCAGCACACTTACAATTCATGTTTCTAAGACTTCCAGCATTATGTGGTGTTGGCTGAGTACACCAAGACACTTAATTACAGTGCCTCTAGTGTGCTTCTTCAAATCCCATTCATGTTGTTGAAGGGCGCAACGTATCCGATTGCCTGGCTTTCGGCGCATTTCAAATTCCTTACTTTCATCGCTCGAAAGCCTTTTTCCTCGCCCTTCTTTAATAGTGCTGCTAAACCTCTCCATGTTCATCATAACGATGGAGAATGTCCCCGCAGCACTCAGAATCCACGTTTTCTCAGATTTCCAGGCTTCGCACACTATGGACGAAGGAGTCTCCCAATGATGAAGTTCTTCGTCCATCCAGATGCCACATAATTGCGCGTTTGAGTACTCTGAAA